ACTATATTAATAAAAAATTGTAATTCCAACTATACTAATTAACTAGTAATTAAACAAGTGTAAATAATAGAATAATTTCGTACCTCTTTCGGACTTTCGGTCTTTCGGATGGGAGTAATAGAATGACTTCAAATTAATTAGATATAATTCCAACTATATTAATAGATATAATAAATATATAAGTAATATATAATTAGATAACAAATATAAGTAATATAATACTATTTATATCTATTTATAGTTTATATAAGTAGATAATTAATATAAACTATAAATAATAAATATAATATATTGGAGAATGGAGAATAAGAGAATTAGAGAGTAGAGAGTTAAGAATAGGATTTAGGAAGAATTGGAGAAGAGATATGAAAAAATGTTTAAGATTAGGAGTATTTATAGGTTTTTTTACCCCCCACCCCCCCACCACCCCCCCACCACCCAACCCCCCCAGACCCCCCCTTTACCCCACCCAACGGCTATATAGCCGTTTGGGTTGTCCCCAGCCCCACCCCCAACGGCTAGTAGGAGCCCAAACCAATTTTTTTTTTTTTAAAATTGAACCGGACCCGGGCCCGGGCCCGACCCGGCTGGGCCGGGTCACAATAATGCTGAACCGAGCCCGCCCCGCCCCTTCCCACCGGTTCGGGCCCATACCCGGTCCCGGACCGCCCGACCGGGCCGGTCCCGAGCCCGCACAGTACCGGGCCGGGCCGGGTCACGGGTCGGGCCGGGTCACGGGCCGGGTGGCCCGAACCGAATCCATCCCTAATGGTAGGTGAGAAAATTTTTTTGAGATATCTCAAAATGGTAAGTGAGAAGATTTTTTTGGGACGGAAGGGGCGTATAAGAAAAATGTTAGCAATATGATCAAAAGAGGCGGTGATTATTTCTAAAATATGAGTAATTTAGTTGGTTTTCTATTCTTGAATTAATGGTGTCATGCACACCTATTTTAAATGATATTATTACTCATATAAAGACACACTTAAGTTTGTTAGACATATATTAGGAATCTCTCAATGTTTTAGTTATACTAGTATATACAAAATTTACCTACTTATATATACTTCCTCCGTTCTTTTTTAATTACAAGGGTCCACTTTTCACGCTTGTCAACACACAAGTTTGACCGTTAATATGTTTCATTACTTATTAGTAAAAAAATTAAAAAATTCAGATTTTGAAATTTAAAATTAGAGGAATTTAAAAATATTTTTTAAAAATTTATAAATAAAATATAGTCAAAGAATATGTGAATAGTGCGGAAATTCTTACGTTACAAAAAAAGAGAACAGAGGTACGTATTATATAGGAAAAAGGATCATGCATGTACTATAAGGAAACCATAATAGATGGATTTTGTTTAGTTGAATCTCCATTTGAAATTTGAATCCATCTGCACTTAAATGCCAATATAACATGTATCACGTGTTAGTTCTATTTATCATCCATTAGTCCATGACCCACTATACCCATATCAAAATTAGAATATGCAAATCCATAATATATGACTGCTAAAATAAAAGCAATTTTGTATTATACAAAATACCACACATATACACAAATGAAAAAAAAACACAATTTTAGTCATCAGACGGTTATTTAAGAGTTGAATGTGCATGCAACAAATTATATATATCCTGCCCGCTAAATGATCATTAGAATTTTGTCAGTATTACCTTAATTTCCTTCTTAGGTAGTTGTCTTTTTCTGTTAGGTTCTAAGTTTGACCCCAGAATTATTACGGTATTGACTAGACATAATGACCCGATTCAACTGCAATTATATAAAATAAATAAATAAATAAACCGCAGAGGTGATTTGGAAAATGGACCAAATCCATGTGGGGAAAATTATTACCAATACTTTGGGATGCTGCATGTTGGTACACAGGCAAACATAAGGTTTACATATGTCACTACTACATATGGATTAAAATAATAAGTTACACAAGTTGCTTTTACTACATATTTTAAACACCACTTAATACTCCCTATTTCTTGTAAATTTTACAAGATGTGTCATTTTTTGTTCCTTTTTTATTTGATTTGGATACGTTGTTGCTGACCTTTTGGGAAGAAATCACAAGTCATATATGTTAATGATCTCATCAATAATAATATTTAAAACTTAGATATTTAGATCTACATTAAAAGGTTCTATTGAATAGCAAAAATCAAATTCAAATTCCATAAAATTTTAATACGCAAAATTATAAGGGGAAATGTCTAAATAAACCCACATTTCTACTATTTCAAATATCATGAAAGCACATTTATTTTAAAAATACTATCTGGCCACCATTACGTGCTATAGCAAGCCACCTTTGAGGGGGAAAATATTGTTAATTTTTTAAACAAGCATATAATTTTCAAAATATAGAAATATTAACATAGTAAAAATGTTAAACTGCTAAATAATTTTAAAACATTAAAGTTAAAAAATTAAAAACAAAGTACGAAATTGAAATAGATCAATTTAAAATAAAATTTCAAAAATATTGAAAATTTAGAATATACAAAAAATCCAAAAACACAAAAATATAGATTTTGATGTTTCAATATTTCAATTTTTTTTAATATCGGTAGCCTCTTTATTGTTTTCAAAAACTAACTTGTTATAGCAAGTAAGAATCGGTAAAATGATCATATGATACTACCCATTTCTCAACTTAAGCTCCTCATTAAAAAATAACATGATTATTTATATAAAAATTAAATAACGCTTTCCAAGTATATTGTGAGAACTAATTTTGATGTGTATATAATATAATGATGTCATTGATGATAGTTGTGATATTACAGGTGTGAAAAGTTTAAATTGGGACGAATGTACGTAGTATTTTTAAATTATGCATGAACTTAAGTGTTGAGGCGCACCTTCATGCATTTTTCTTTTAATTTTAGGGCACTTTTGAAAATCGAAGTTACTATTAACCGTCTTTCTTAGGCGTTTTTAACGGTGTGGCCCTCTTGTGATAACGAAATTCAAACATATGAACCACTTTGATAAAAAGTGAAACATATGACCCTATCTGAAATGGACCCAACTACAAGTATCTTTTCCGTACCTTTTCCCTAATTTTAATTGGATTGAAATTTTATGATATGATCTGATCTAATCTAGATTGGTGTGATATATGTTTGTTGTGTGTATATATTAGTATTATCTAAGTTTGGTCTGGTTTGTTAAATTTAGTCCCGTAACTTTCAAGTGCATCCACTATTGTGATGTTTTCAACTGAATTGATTTGAGTTTTAGATCATATGAGATCATATCAAACTTAAAAGACCCAGGACAGACAAGATCAGACAAGAATGTTTTTAATGAATTTATAATTTGTTTCATTCCCTTACTAGACTAGCCTTAAATATATCGGATCAAATAAGACCAAACGATTCATAAAAATACACATAAAACAAGTAGATATCAACTCCTAATATGGGTTTCTTATTCATATGCCCGAGCCTGCACTACCCAAGTCTTATTTGGCCATGTTGATACATGACATCATGGAATTACTTTTTCATTGAAAAACAAATGGTTTACAATGCGGGGTTTTATGAAATATATTTCAAGTAAAACATATAAATCTAAATGTGCGTGATAATAACTACTAAGTGATCATGTTCTTATTCTCCTTCATTATTTTAATTATAATCATGTACTTCGGTAGGAGAGAACAAAAAAAAATTGAAAATGATTAAAACCGAACTGAATGAAAGCTATATAGACTATGTTGAGAATTAAACTTGGTTTTGGGCCTAATTATTATTTTTTAAGTTGGTGTTGGAAAGAGCCCAAATAGTAGAAAAGTGTAGAACAAATAAATTCTAGAACTATTCTAGAATGTATGGTCTCTAGATTTCTCCTATTTTAGTTGTAAGCATTAATCGTAGAATAGTCTAGAATGATTTCTTACTAGTATAAACAGAGACCTTTTATCACCACTTTGTATCAAGCAAATCAAGTCAATTTGAGTTGTTCTGATTAAAAGATTCTCTTTATTCAAATACTCCTTCACTTATTTCGATTGGACTAACTCATAGGGGGTTTGGTTTACTGTATATTTTTTGGGTTAAAATATGACCGAATCAATAGTGATCGAGAAAATCCATAAAATGTGTCAAAATCAATCGAAACAAATACAAGCGGAGCGAAATTAATCGAACCGAAACCAAATCAAGTTGTGTGATTTGATTCTCAGTTTCTTATTTTCTAAAACGAATTGAAAAGGTTGAAATAATTTTTTTTTTTTTTTGAAAAGGTTGAAATCCATAAAAAACTAGTGAAGCACCGACAAATACCCCTACACCAGAGACCAGAGTACACTATAAATCATTGTTTATTAATACATATGATGTTTAATTGTTTATAAAAAAATTCACAGTTTTCATTAAAAGAAATTAGTGGCACGACTGAGACCCCTCATTCTGCTCAGTCTTTTTATACAGTACTTTATTTTCTGGGTCAAAAGATGGATCTATGTAGTAGTGAAACTGTTGTAGTTCAGCTCCACTGTGTCATTCATTTATATATACCCAGGCAGGCCGCAGGAGTGGCTTTCTTTTATAACTTTTCTGTCTTCATTCATACCCCTTCACTGTTTCTGTTTTATGATAAAGTGTATCATTGTAGGTTTCACCAAACTACAAGAAAAATAAAAAAACGGAGTATTCAAAACAATCTTCTTCGCTTAATAGCTTGTGCATTTTCTTTGTAGAGTATGTTTAAGAGTCGGTTTCATAACATTGAAGCAGGATGAATCGACTGATTTTGCAGAAATTTATGAATTTCTAACTGAAGTGATTGGATTGACGGATTCTGCTGAATTATAAAAATAAAAATATTCTATCAATAAAGAAATAATTATATCGAAACAGCTAAAGTGGTCCTTTAAAGTGACTTTAATCAATCTATCCAGAAAAGTAACTCTAATTTTACTTAATTTGATTATTACAAAGTTCAACATGTAAAATCAAAAGTTACGTGTTTGACTGTGAAAAAATTGATTGATAAAACTGATAAATTGAAAATCAAGGTCATCAAAGAGGCTCAAATAAAAACTGTACATTGATATTACAAGAATAATTTTATTTGGAACTTGTTTTTTAAAGAAAAGTAGTTAAACTACATTAATTCAAGTTCCACGGTACTCTAATTGGCTCACTATCGGACCACTCCTCCAAATAGCTTCCCAAAAACCATTAATGAGCCAATTGGAGTACGGTGCTCGGCTTCTCCGTTCCATAGTGATAAAGTAAAATCATACTCCGTACTAGTAAGTAGTATGAAACAAAAACGAGAGGCCCTAAAATACAATCCAAAACATAATACTAATAATAAAATAAACATATGATATTCAACTGTTGAACGTTATTTATGTTGATGAGGATTTAGGAAAACGAGACACATGTGCCCGGAGACTTGGAGCCTCAAACCCGGCAGGGACGAATCGAGGATTTTGAGTCATAACCCCATGTCATATCACTCTGCCACGACAATGTTCATTTATGTACCACGATAATATTCCATGATTCATTTAACCTACTTTTTTTGGAAATCATTATGTACCAGTAAACCTCCATTCAACTTCATCTCGACCAATTGAATAAAGCAATTGATATCATTCACACACTAAGACTGAATTCGGAGTCGGATTCCGTCACGCCACCATAAATAAAGCACCTACTTTGTCCTTGACTTGCAACGGAGAAACTGGTATGAAATCTGATTGCATGTCGCACATAATCGAAGCAACTCGTCTAGGCTTGGTTTCCATCCATTCGCGAACCATATTCGACCAGACATGGACTGTTTCCAAATTCCCCATACCCCTACAGTTGCAAGTGATGACGGTCATCTTTAGATTAGTTTCCTCCCAGTGCTGAAAAAGCGACAATAGCTTCCTTCAAACACACAAAGGAAATGTTGCGGCCTCCTTCAACCCTAGACTAGATGACATAGGAATCGACCTTTGTCTATTCAGAACTTGTTTGGTAGTCCCTCTTTTTCAACTTATCAAAAATACTCCATTGTATTAAAATAAGTTCTCAAAAATACTCCCTTGTATTAAAATAAGTATCCCAATAAACTTTTCATGTAATTTAGGATAATTTAAAGGTTTATAGTATACTTTTTTAAAAAAGTATGATTTTTTGGTATTGTATTACTGTCTACTTTATTAAAGTGTATTTTATCTATTTTAGGGGTGAATTTATTTTCAAATATGGAAGTGAGCCACTTATTGTGATACGATCCAAAAAGAAAAGTGAAACACTTATTTTAAAAACAATTATGATCGGAGTTACTTTTTGAATGAATTTATAATACTTTTCGAATTTCTTAATCGTTAAAATGTGTTCTCATAAAGAAATTCGACTAAATATATGATTAAAATAAGAATAAGAATAGCAAATAAAAACGTCAGTCCAAAAAAAAAAATTTATTAGAATATCAATGGAGTAGTGTATATTTATTACATAACCCCCCCCCCCCCCCCCCCCCCTAAATATACACTACTAAAGAATACAAGGAGTACATAATAAAAGGCTTTTTCCTTGAATATTACTAAATTATAGTCAATTTCCAAAAATGTGATCATTTTTTCAAAAGGACAAAAAACTGACTAAGAAGGTCGTATATTTGGAAAAATATGATGTCACTGTTACATTTTTGTGTCACTGCCAAATTTTTATGTCACTGTCAAAATTTTATGTCACTTATTTAATGTCACTATCGATTTTCGTGTCACTTTCGGATGTCACTGCTGCTGTGAAGCGTGTCACTGTGATCGCCGGATAATTTTCCGGCGACTTTTTCCGGTGAAACAATGACTTCCACGATTGGCCATTCACCTTCCAACACCGCCACCAGCCACCCCGCTGGCACCACCATCCCACGCCACATCCCACGCCACATCCCATCCCCTTTAGACTGTCTATTACCCTTGGCCCCCATCCCCACGCCCCTGCCCCTGCCCCCTGACCTGCACCATCCACACTACCCACCAGTTTAACCGTTGATCGTCGCTCAGCAGACCCAACACCGCCGGGCAACACCACCAGCCACCAGTGTTGAACACTACCCCCAAATCGCCTCTCCCAAATCCTAGCTCCAACCTCTCCAACCCACCATCTCCATCCTTGCACCCTTACAACCCCCATCTATCACCAGATCTGGTCCCTTGCACCGCTGGAACCCTAGATTCACCACCTTCGTTGAATTAGAAGAAGAAAGAAGGAGAAGAACAGTGACGATGGTGATTAACCGCGACAGAATCCAAACGCTGAGTCACTGAGGTATGCGACAATTGGACCGAAGCTGACCGACAGAAGCAAAGGTGAACTGCGGCGGCGGCGATGCAGTGAGGAACGAAGGCAGCGACGATGCAATGATGAACGAAGGAGGCAGTGATGCAGAGAGGTCTAGCGGGCAGACGGTGACACTTCAGTAACCGTTCATCATTCATTCGCTCGCAGATCCCAGACACAGATGGAGAAGACGAGGAGTTTGCAGAGATGGCAAAGGTGAGGGTTCGCAGATATGGAAAGTGCGATGACCATACGGAAGTGAGAAATGGTGAGGTCACATCTATGTCCATCTCAGATTTAGTGATATTTTTGTCTATACAAACTCTTGGAGTAATATTGGGGCCATTTTTTCAAAAACAAAATATGCTTAAGGATGCTGCCTCATTAAAAACCTTGCCAAGGAAAACTTTGTGTGACAAAACCTTGGTAAGGAAAAAAGAGTGCATCGCGTATTTACTCCCCCTAATGAATATATCACTCAAGATCCTTGCGTCGACGTAATCCAATCAGGTGCACTAACTTCTTGAAAAAAGAGTGCAATGCGTATTTGTTGAACGATAATCTCACCTTCTTTCTGAATGTCATGTGTATACCAAAATTTTGGTGAAATATGTTTCGTCCTATCTCCCTTGATGAATCCTTCCTTAAGTTGGTGGATACAAGCAGCAATGTCTTCAAACAAGATGGTTGGAGGCTCCTTTTCAGACAATAATCCACGTGACTTTTTAATATGTCGAATTACACTTCTTAAGTATACGCATTCTCGAATGTCTTCATGAATGGCTATTATCTGCATGATTATTAGATGATGTTGCCGCAATGGTTTGCTTCATGGAACGCCATTAAACTACTGTTCGTCCACATGTAAACACATATCCAGTCTGTGATCTCCCTTTATGAGGATCAGACCAATGACCTGCATCTGCAAAACCAATCAATTCTTTTTTGGACATGTTAGAAAATAATAGATCCATGTCTTTCATACCTTGAAGGTAACGAAGTATTTGTTTAACCCCATTCCAATGTCTTCACGTTGGAGAAGAACTATATCTTGCCAATAAATTTACAGCAAAGGATATATCGGGTCTGATGTGACTTGCAAGATACATTAGTGCTCCAATTGCACTTAGGTATGGTACTTCTGGACCAAGAATATCATCATTATCTCCACGCGGTCTAAATGGATCCTTATCAACTTCAAGTTGTCTTACAACCAACAGGGTGCTTAAAGGATGTGCCTTATCCATTAAAATTCTTTTTAGCACCTTCTCTATATAGGTTGTTTGATGCACAAGGATACCATTATTTAAATGATCAATTTGTAATCTGAGGCAGTATTTGGTCTTTCCAAGATCCTTCATTTTTTATTCCCTTTTCAATCATTCAATTGCCTTTTGCAGTTGTTCAGGAGTTTCAATAATGCTTAGATCATCAACAAAAACTGCAATAATAACAAACTCCTGACCAGATCCCTTAATAAAATTACATGGGCATATATCATCATTTTTGTACCCTTCTTTTAATAAGTACTAACTTAGATGATTGTACAACATACACCCAGATTGTTTTAAACCATATAGAGATCTGTTTATTATAATAGAATATTGTTCTCGAGAACCTCTATTGCATTCTTTAAGCAGCTTAAAACCTTCCGGAAGTTTCATATACATATATATCAGTATCAAGCGAGCCATATAAATAGGTCGTCACTACATCCATGGGGCGTAAATCTAGTCCTTCACGTATTGCCAAACTAATTAAGTATCTAAAAGTAGTAGCATCCACCACAGGAGAATATGTTTGATCAGAATCAATGTGGGGTCTTTGTGAAAATCCTTGTGCAACTAAACGGGCTTTATATCTGATAATTTCACCCTTTTTATTTCTTTTACGCACAAAACCCATTTATAACCCACTAGTTTAACATCTTCTGGTGTTTCAACCATGGGTCCAAAAACTTCTCGCTTTTCTAGCGATTGTAATTCAGCCTCAATTGCATCTTTCCATTTTGGCCAATCATCTCTGTGTCTACATTCTTGCATTGTTCTTGGTTCATGATCCTCATTTTCATTCATTATATTTAGCGCTATATGATATGCAAAAGTATCATTTTCTTCATCATCATCAACGTCGATTTCATGTCGGTTCCAAACAATTCCTGAAGCGATATAATTTATTGAGATCTCTTCATTTTCAGGTACCTGATATTTTTCTGGATTTATAATCATGTCAATGTTCTCTTCAGGAGAATATACTCTAAAATTTATTTTATTCTCTTCTTAGCCATTTTCATTCTTTGCTCCCGTTCTTTTTCGAGGATTTTTGTTTTTGGAACTGATTGATCTTCCACGCTTCATGCGTGTTTTTGATTCATGTGCAATGACATGTCTTGCTGGGACATTTAGTCTAATGGGAGCATTGGCAGTTGGTACTAGTGACTTTGTCACTCCTTTAGTATCAATAAAAGCGACTGACAATTGATTCGCTAGACCTTGCAAATGTATTATCTTTCGGATTTCAATTTCACATTCTTTAATACGAGGATCAAGATGTAATAATGATGGTACAGTCCTACATAATTCTTTCTCCAACTGCTTTCTTTCTCCCCCTAATGTTGGGAAATTTGATTCATTAAAATGACGACAATCAGCAAATCTAGCTGTAAATAATTCCTCCGTTGATGCCTCAAAATATCTTATTATGGAAGGAGATTCATAGCCAACATATATTCCGGGTCCCATCTTAGTACGTTGTGGTAGAGCAATAGGTACATATACAAATGTTCTTAGATGGGAAATAATTGGTTCATTACTCAAAACCAATTGTAGGGGAGATGATTCAAAACAACTTGTTGGCCTGATGTGAATTATTGCTGCATGTAATACAATAATTATTTAAAGCTTGGGAGGTGAACTCACCGGCATTATTAAGGCGAATAATTTTAATTGGTTAATCAGGAAAATGCGCTCTTAATCTAATTAATTGAGCTACTAATCTCGCAAACATCAGGTTGCAAGTCGATAATAAGCATGCATGTGACCATCTAGTCGATGCATCTATTAAAACCATGAAATACCTAAATGGTCCACATGTTGGGTCAATTGGTCCACATACATCACCTTGAATATGTTCTAAAAACGAAAGTGATTCCGTTTTAATCTTAGCCGGTGAGGGTCCAGTAATTAAATTTCCTTGAGAGCAAGCAACACAAGATAACTCACTGGTTTGAAGAATCTTCTGATTCTTGAGTGGATGTCCACATGAGTTATTAATAATTCTTCAAATCATTGTTGATTTGAGATGGCCTAACCAGTCATGCCAAATAATAAACTTATCATGATCCATAAACTTCTGGTTTATGATCATATCCGATTCAATTGTACAAATTTTGGTGTAGTACAATCTAGATGAAAGTGCGGGTAATTTTCAAACATCCTTTTAATACCCGAAGTATATTATCGGTTATGTAGAGATATTCAATATCTCTTTCTTTGGTTGTTCCAATATGATTTCATTTCGGCGGA